GTGGTGGGCCAACGGGTTCTTTGGCTTTTTCTCTAGCCTGCTCATAGCTCATTCCCTTTTCTATGTACCGCTTGAGGCGTTTCCGACCGGCTCCGCTAAGCCGCTCCCGCTCTCGAGCTTGGTGAGATGGGTTGTTCACCGGAGAGGCAAGCAGCTTCTGCTCATCCTCCGGCGAGATATCAGATAGCGTTCTGACGGGACTCGCATCCTGTCTCACGCTAGTATCCACCATCTCTACGTCATACGAGGGACTATGCGCCCCCAGTAGTTCTGTAGCGATGGTTTCTGTTTCGACAGAAGTCGAAAGGCCAGCATTGGCCATTGTTTGGAGCTGTGCAGCTCCTTCTGGCTTTTGATTTATATTGTTTTTACTATTCATGTGTGTCCCACGAGTATGGGGGAAGGGATGTCAGCTGGGACATAGCCCCCAATATCCCGAGCAAGACTTCTTACAACCAGAGGGCGCCAGGTATCTGGAGGCCACCGTTATAAGACACACTTACGTAGTGCCATTCATCCCATAAGCACGGTACGGATGACACTCGGAATTACGGGTTTTATCGAGTTGTCCTCTCTATATCCGCCATATTCAGTAGAAGCAGGGGCACCTCTCGCAGGGTGTGACTCGTCGCCACGTATGGTCGGTCTTGAGCCATCCGCTCCTGACTCAGAACATTACAACACGTATGAAGCAATATCAAGAGCCTTGACCCCCTATCAAGATAAGTCGATCTTCCACTCAGCCATCGATATAATCATACAGAGACTACTATATATACGGTGACAATATATATGTGAGCCGAATATGCCCAACAAACATAGTTTCAAACGTTTGAGAAAAATGTATTTCTCAATTTGATATCAAATGTTTTTCTCAAGTGATTCTCAAATTGAAAACGACGTTTAAATTTTACATTTGAAATTCATTTGAGGTTAATTTGAAGGAAGATGTCAAGTTTCAAACGATATAAAAATGCGCGGTTAAATCAAAAATTGTAAGAATAAAATTAAGATCAATTGAAAAAAACCAATGAATAGAAAAAAATTTTCAAAGAGAAAGCCCACAAATAGTGGATTTGATGTTTACGCGGATTGAAGAAGTTGCAGCCCTTCAAAACGTATTTATTATAAATTACTTTACCTTAATTGTTTCTTTTGTTATGTAGATACATATGTACATGGCGAAGAAACAATAAATATAAAATATACATTTCCTATGATAAATTTTATTTCCACATTTGAAGTACAATTGATAAATAACCTTTGAAATCGATTTGAGAGTTAACCATCTTCTCAAATGGAGATCAAACTCCCCTTTTTATTGAGAAAGCTGTAATTTTCAAATCAATATCAAATCATTTTCAAACGTTTGACATTTGAGAAATGCTTTGATTTCAAATCATTCTCAAATGTATATCAAACCTAATTGTTTGCTGGGTGGGACAAAAAATAATTTTGGAAATTTTTTCCACACTGTTTTCCCTGAAACAGTATCCCTATAGAAACATCACAAATTTGTAGGAAATTCTTGAGATTTTTACCCCGTAAAATAAAAAAAAAATCGTTAAATTTTAGTATAATAAAGTGAAATTTTAAGTCGGTAAGGCTTACCACTAATTTTTGGCAATTTTTTTTTGTTGACGGTGTTACACATTTTTTTCATACAAAATAAGTATGTTCGACCATTTTTTTGTAAGAGAAGCAAATGAGCAGCACTTTCCACTCGCACCTTATTATTCTCAATTTTAATAAG